AACCCTAAACCCTAAACCCTAAACCCTAAACCCTCAACCCTAAACCCTAAACCCTAAACCCTAAACCCTAAACCCTAAACCCTAAACCCCCCGAGACTTCGAGCTGCGCCTTGAGCATCTTCGCACAGTGGGAGGTGAAAGAGCAGCCCCTGCAGATGTGGATCCTTGCGGAGGCTGGGGTCCCAAAAAGCTTGTTTAGGGTTTAGGGTTTAGGGTTTAGAGCCTAAGCCCAAAACCCTAATGGGGCGTTTCAAGACTACATGTGTGACATTATTAACCATCCAGGACTTGGAGTGTTCGCGAAGTTTGCGGCCGGATGCCGCAGCCGAAGGCCCCCTTGTGACTTCCACTTGGGCTTAGGGCTTCTAGGGCCTTACAGGGCTGATAGGGCCTTGTAGGGCTTCTGGGGCCTTGTAGGGCTTATAGGGTTGATAGGGCTTGTAGGGCTTATAGGGCTTATAGGGCTTGTAGGGCTGAGGGCTTCCTGTACAGGTTTCGGGCGAAGCCTTTCCATTGACAATGCTGGAAGCCCAGAACCAGGCGTCCTCATGTGTCGTAGAGGGTCGAGGGTGGTCCACAGCGACGTGTCGTGGGCGACTTCCGATGCCTGCAGAGCACGTCGTGGTGTTTCTCACGTTCGGGGGCTGAGGGGGTTGAGGGGATTTAGTGGGTTGAGTTCTGAGGGTCTCTGTGCTTAGGGGTTTGGGCGTTTACCGTTTAGGGGGACGGGGAACTAGGGATAATCTTAATTTGGGACCTTAGGGATTGTAAGGGCTTAGGGACCCGAAATCCGCAAGCGCTAAACTAAACCCCTTCAGGTTTAGACCTGTGACGTCTTCTGCTTCGTGTGTTCGTCAGGGAGATGTTAAGCCAGCTCTGCATGCTTTCCCTGGACTGGGTTGCTGTTTATACTCTTAGTCTACGCAGAAACAGAAACACCGGATTTTTCATTCTACACCCATATTATAGCAACTTAAGTTCCTTGGCAGCAACCCTACGAATTCTGAACCTAATCATTCAGATGCGAGAAATGACTGCTTGGAAACTGTCTGAGACCCTAGACCCTAGACCCTAAACCCTAAACCCTACAACCCCTAAACCCACATCAATCAGCGGTCAAAGCCCGGCGTTAAGGTCATGTTGCCAAGGTTCGGCTACCCTCCCCGACCTTGAAACCCTAAACCCTAGACCCTAGACCCTAAACCAGAAACCCTGAACCCCACTCCCCGTAGACCCTAAACCCTAAACCCAAGTGCCTCGAAGCAAGGGCAGAAGAGGCCGTAGCGGGCAGAACCTCGGGTTTAGGGGGCTGTGCGGTGCTTGTGGTGTTGAGGTTTGAGGGCTTGGGGGCTTGGTTTGGGGTTTAAGGGTTGCGGATTAAGGGTTTGGGTCTCCAGTCTTCAGGCCCCCTAGCCCCATCCCAGTTTTGTTAGCTTGCCTTGTGATGATCTAAGGAAACCTGATACTTCTGGATAACTGTGCGTGGGTAAGCCCCCACCCTAAACCTAAACCTAAACCCTAAACCCTAAACCCTAAACCCTAAACCCTAAACCCTAAACCCTAAACCCTAAACCCTAAACCCTAAACCCTAAACCCTAAACCCTAAACTCCATACCGAAGCACCGGTTCTGCAAGCCGAACGCCTTCGGAGCCCACAAGACCTGAAGCCCCCGACCCCTCAACCAGGAGCACGCCTAAGGTTTTCAGGGCTGAAGCTAGGGTTTAGGATTTAGGGTTCAGGGCTCAGGGTTTAGGAAGCATGCCTAATGTTTTCAGGGTTGAAGCTTCGGGTAGTTCTTCCAACTGGGGCTCCCTTTGAGGGGCCCTTTGTGTAAGGTGCCCGTACTATATTTCGGACCCCCAAAAAGGGACCACCCTAAACCCTACACCCTAAACCTCTTGAGGGTTTAACCATCAAGTTGCGCTGAGGCACACTTGTGCTGATAGAGGATGTTGTAGAGCCATGAGATCGTGAGAAGCCGCATGCAGTAGGCGCAGTTGCCTTCAACCCTACACCCGAAACCCTAAACCCTAAACCCTACACCTTCATGGGGGGAGGGAAACCCTATAACCTCCGGAAAGAAGACTTGAAATGGGCGCATCTGAGCTGCTGATTGGCAATATGCGCTAGGAGAATGTACACCGGCTACAGCCTGTGAAGCCCATAAGCTCGACAGTCGCCTAAGCTTATAACTATCCCTGAATCCGGGAAGATTCCTTCACCCAGACTTAAGCAAACCTGTGAAGAACTGCAGAAGTTTCCCTGAGTAAGGAAGAACCAGGAGTCTGTGAGTATCAGCCAAAAGACCCTCACTTTGACCCTCTAAACCCGAAAAAAAGCAGAACGAAACCCTTGCAGCTCAATGCACAAGCCTAACACCCTTTTGGGTGAAGGTGCTCTGACTTCTCCTACCAACAATGCCGATGTTTCCGCAATTCGGGGCACCCTATTGGGGTCCTTGTTATAAGAATCCTACAGTGATCCTAACTCTATGGGCGTTTATATTGGGGGTCCCCAATTTTCGTGAACCCATTCCGCAGGCTGGTTCAAGGTTTAGGGCTGAGGGCATCTGAGCATCTTGGGTTGATGATTTCCGGGGCTGGAGGATTTCGGGGGCGTAGACTTCTGGGCTTAGTAAGGTTTAGGGTTTAGGGTTTAGGTTTTAGGGCTTAGGGTTCAGGGTTTAGGGTTCAGGGTTTGGGGTTTAGGGTTTAAGGTTTAGGGATCCGAGGTGCATTCGGCGAAGTAGAAGGAGAAGGGGTCGTACTTGTGCTCCATGACGCAGTACCTCGGCTGAAGTGAGGCTGGACATCGTGGGCCTGCTCGACGCCCAAAACAGACTCCGGCACAGCCCTAAACCCTAAACCCTAAACCCCAAACCCCTAACCCTAAACCCTAAACCCCAAACCCTAAACCCTAAACCCTAAACCTAACTAACCCTAAACCCTAAACCCAAAGTGGGCTAAAACCCTGACCCCGAAACCCGAAACCACAAAAAACAAGAGGCTCTGGAGTGCATGGGTGACCTCTCCTGCGGTGTCTGTGCGGTTGGTCCGCCCGATCCACTTGAATACCGTTTAGGGTTTAGGGTTAGGGTTAAGGGTTCAGGGTCACAAGTTTCGCAGACAGAGCGGCAGTAAATCTGGCACTTTTCATGCACCTCGACACGTGCCGGGCCCAGTGTCATCTGAGGCGGCGGTGGCGGAGATACTTGTGCTTCTTCGACAGAACGCCGAAGGTGGGAGTCCCACAACTCCATTACAGCTCAACCAACCCTAAACCCAAAACACTGAAGCCTAAATAGCTTCAAACAACCAAAAGCCTGTACACCTAACTGCACCTAACTATACCTGCAGCCGGAACCTCCACGTCTTAAACGTAACCGAGCCCCTGAAACCCTGAATGCCCTGAAGAACGAAACACAAAAGCCTGAACCCTGAACCCCAAAAACCCTGAACCCCTAAAAAAAACACGAAACACCTAAACCCAGAACGGAGCATGACCGCCTGGGTCTTGGTCGATAGGGCCCAAGAATCAATATATATATATATATATACATATATATATATGTGCCATGGACCTTTAGGTACAATGCGAGCACTTGTCCTTCCTTCCCTATTAAAAAACCATTAAATGCTCTACGCTGGGTTTATGGCTTGGCAAACTCACTCATTCTTGGAAACAAGTGGGAGCGGGCCTTTCTCTTTTCAAGAAAAAACGAAACAACTATGAAGTAACACAATAGCGAGTCATCCCCCTCTTCTTGGCCTCTTGTCGCTTCCTCACAAGTCCAAATTATGGAAAGAACCTCTTTGATTATTCTATATCAATAAACATGTTTTTTATCGACTAACTTGGAGAAAGACTTCTGGATTTGATCGTCATTCAATATGGCACTGGGAATATTACAAAACAATTAAATTGATCTTCACAAACAAAAATTATCCAATTCCTCTCTCCTTCTCCAGCTCCGTTCCCTTTCCTAAAGAACCACTAATAATGGTTTTCGTCCGGATATTTTTCAATGCATATATACTATCTTAGAACAACAAATGATTACATTGCACGGAAGATAAAACAAGGTAAAAAAAGAGCTGCAGGGATGCAATCGCCTTCGGCTCGCTCCTTCTTGGAAAACATCGAATCGAGCCGAAATAGCTGCGGTCTAGGGTTTAGGGTTTAGGGTGTAGGGCTTAGGGTTTAGGCTCCTTCTTGGAAAAAAACATCAAATCGAGCCGAAATAGCTGCGGTCTAGGGTTTAGTGTTTAGGGTTTAGGGTTTAGGGTTTAGGGTCATTTTTGGAAAAAAATCAAATCGAGCCGAAATAGCTGCGGTCTAGGGTTTAGGGTTTTAGGGTTTAGGGTTTAGGGTGTAGGGTTTAGGGTTTTGGGCTTAGGTTTTAGGGTTTAGGCTCCTTCTTGGAAAAAACATCGAATCTAGGGTTTAGGGTTTACGGTTTAGGGTCAAGTTAGGGCTTAGGGTTTAGGGCGTATGTAGGGTTTAGGGCTTAGGCTCCTTCTTGGAAAAAACATCAAATCGAGCCGAAATAGCTGCGGTCTAGGGTTTAGGGTTTAGGGTCTAGGCTCCTTCTTGTAAAAAAATCAAATCGAGCCGAAATAGCTGCGGTCTAGGGTTTAGGGTTTAGGGTTTAAATTTAGGGAGCTGTCGTTTTCGCACGCGATTTCCCCGAAATAAATGCAAGGGCCTCGGCTGGGCGCTAACTGGCCCAAAGAACACTCTAACCCAAGACCAGGCACCTTGAACCCTTGATTGAAACCCAAGCTTGAAATCCCAACAGCCAAGAACCCTAATTCTTGAGGCCCGAACTCGTGCATGCTTCCGCTTTTCTGCCTTTTGAGGAGTGTTGCTTTTGTTTTGCGTTGCTCTGAGCGCCACGCAGGATCTTGCTCCTGCTCCAAGGTGTAGCCCATATCGTTCGCCTGGCAGGAATATACCATTTAGTATTCACTAATGTTTTTCGTCACTGTGCTTTTCTTTCTCAAAATGCCGACTCCTGCTCGTCGTCGAAGCCGCATGGCATCTCCTCGACCTGGCACAGGTCCCGTTTTTCTGCCTCTTGAAGAGTGTTGCTTTTGTTTTGCGTTGGGCTGGGCGCCACGCAGGATCGTGCTCCTGCTCCAAGGTGTCGCCCATATCGTTCGCCTGGCAGGAATATACCATATAGTATTCACCAATGTTTTTCGTCACTGTGCTTTTCTTTCTCAAAACGCCGACTCCTGCTCGTCGTCGAAGCTGCGTGCCATCTCCTCCACCTGACACAGGTACCGTTTTTCTGCCCCTTGATGCGTGTTGCTTTTGTTTTGCGTTGCGCTGGGCGCCCCGCAGGATCGTGCTCCTGCTCCCAGGTGTAGCCCATATCGCTCGCCTGGCAGAAATACCATTTAGTATTCACGAATGTTTCTCGTCACTGTGCTTTTCTTTCTCATAGTGCCGAGTGCCAGACTGCAACTTGCTTCTCGTCGTCGTCGAAGCCGCATGGCATCTCGTCCACCTGGCACAGGTCCCGTTTTTCTGCCTCTTGAAGAGTGTTGCTTTCGTTTTGCGTTGCGCTGAGCGCCACGCAGGCTCGTGCTCCTGCTCCCAGGTGTAGCCCATATCGCTCGCCTGGCAGGAATATACCATTTAGTACTCACCAATGTTTCTCGTCTCTGCCAACAACACATGCATTGTTGCCGTGCAGTTGTTTACCTGGACTCAGAGCTCCGCCTGCTCTTCGTGGTCCATTTCACCAGCTTCCACGCCCTGACAGATTGTACGTGCGTCCCATGTGCTGGCCGCCGCAAACCCAGCGGCCTCTCCAACAACACGGACATGGCCACCAGACGGCTGTTTACCTGGACTAGAAGTGCCGCCTGGTCGGCTCCATCCATGTCAGGAACTTCTTCGTCCTGAATGATTGTGAATATGATGCCTGCAACTGCCCCACAGATGAGCTATACTCAGGCCGGCACGCTTGCCCTCTCCAGGCTGGCTCACCCGCCTGGCAGGAATCATGGCAGAGAGCTCATGGTCCGACCATAAACTTCCCTAGAATTTGACGGCGCCACCTCGTGGAGTTGATGGCCTGCGGTTTAAAGCCTAGGGGATCTTTGCACTGAGGATGCCTCGGTCTGCTGAAGTGGGGTGTAGGTTTAGGGTTCCGGCAAAGAAAAGGGCATCTATTGGGCTTCTAGCACGTAGCCTGAGGCGACACTTTTGTCAACACCGCGTGCCTTCATGCCTTGCCGCCGAACAAGAAACAAATGCCTAAAGCACTGGACTCCTGGACTCTTCATGTCACAAACCCCCGGAACTTCACCACACACGAACGCATGCACGGAAGGACGGGCGCGCATGCACCCAAAACCTTCAACCCTGCATGAAAGGCGCCCTACACAAAGAGTACATCTCGGGCAAAATGCAACCGTGCAACCCCTATCAATCTGGAGCCTTGTAGCCGACACTTCCGTGAGCGGTGGCCGTGGCCAAAGCGGGCCGGCTTGGCCTGAGATGCCAAAGCTTTATACCTAAACCCTAAACCCTAAATAAACCCTAACCCTAAACCCTAACCCCCCCCCCCTCCCCCCCTCCCCCCCCCCTCCCCAATATATCACTCCGCCATGTTGGGGTGTCACTTAAACCAACGCGGAACGCATAGCAACCAGGCAGCCACCGTCCTCGAAGGCCGACCGGCGTGCCTTCATGGCCTGGGACCTGCAAGAACGTGGGAAACTCCCGGGATGTTTCCCAAATCCTTTGAAACTTTTGAAACCTTTGAAAGCTTTGAAATAGAAACTCCCCCCTCCTCCCCCGATTTTGAATTTCAAAGGTTTTTTGAAATTTGAAATCGGATGAAGTCTTTGAGATACAAACTCCCCCCCCCTCCCCCGATTTTGAATTTCAAAGGTTTCAAAGAATTCAAAGAGTTCAAAGATTTCCAAGGTTTCAAAGGGCGAGGGAAACTCCCGGTAAGTTTCCCAAACCCTTTGAAACCTTTGAAATCTTGAAATCTTTTAAATAGAAACTCCCCCCTCCTCCCCCGATTTTAAATTTCAAAGGTTTCAAAGGTTTCAAAGATTTCAAAGGTTTCAAAGTGCGTGGGAACTCCCGGGAAGTTTCCCAAATCCTTTGAAACCTTTGAAACCTTTGAAATCTTTGAATAGAAACTCCCCCCTCCTCCCCCGATTGTAAATTTCAAAGGTTTTTGAAATTTAAAATCGGATGAAATCTTTGAAATAGAAACTCCCCCCCTCCCCCGAGTTTGAATTTCAAAGGTTTCAAAGGTTTCAAAGACTTCAAAGATTTCCAAGGTTTAAAAAGGGCGAGGGAAACTCCCGGGAAGTTTCCCAAACCCTTTGAAACCTTTGAAACCTTTGAAATCTTTGAAATAGAAACTCCCCCCTCCTCCCCCGATTTTAAATTTCAAAGGTTTCAAAGATTTCTAAGGTTTCAAAGGGCGTGGGAAACTCCCGGGAAGTTTCCCAAACCCTTTGAAACCTTTGAAACCTTTGATATAGAAACTCCCCCCTCCTCCCCCGATTTTAAATTTCAAAGGTTTCAAAGATTTCAAAGATTTCAAAGGTTTCAAAGGGCGTGGGAACTCCCGGGAAGTTTCCCAAATCCTTTGAAACCTTTGAAACCCTTGAAATCTTTGACACCTTTGAAATAGAAACTCCCCCCTCCTCCCCCGATTTTAAATTTCAAAGGTTTTTAGAAATTTAAAATCGGATGAAATCTTTGAAATAGAAACTCCCACCCTCCTCCCCCGATTTTAAATTTCAAAGGTTTCAAATATTTGAAAGGTTTCAAAGGGCGTGGGAAA